AGCACCAGCAGTGCGCCTACGAACGGCACCAGCAGCAGCAGCAGCAGCAGCAGCAGCAGCAGCAGCAGCAGCGGCGGCAACAGCAGCAGCAGCAGCAGCAGCAACAGCAGCTGCAGCAGCGGCAGCAGCTGCAGCAGCTGCAGCAGCAGCAGCAGCAGCAGCAGCAGCAGCAGCAGTGTGCCCACCAGCAGCAGCACCAGCTGCGTGCCTACGAACACAGCCGTGCGGCAGCTCCGAGCGGGCAGAAGCTGCAGGCATGGTCAGGGCTCGGGCCCCTCGAGCCTTGGGCGCAGGTGCAGGGAGCACCAGGGCCGGTCCGACAGGGGCTCGTCCCAGCATCAGCCCCAGGGCAGGCACCCAGCCCAGGGGGCCAGCCAGAGAGCCAGCCAAACCTGCCCTGCTGGGCCGCAGAGGGGCAGCGAGCGCTCCGGCAGCCCGCAGCGAGAGGGGATCAGCCCGCAGCGAGAGGAGACCAGCAGTGGGCCCCCGCCCAGGGCCAGCAGGGAGCTGAGACGGCGGCTGCGCCAGCCCCCGACCTCTTCCCGCGCTTCCGGGCCCTCCGGGGGGGGGCGGTGGCCGCTCAGGTGGGAGGGGACCCCCAGCGCTACCACAGATGGCTATCCCCGCTGCCGGGGGGCCGCCTGCCGTCTGACGAGATCGTAGTGCACTGGGCCCAGACACATCCGGCGCAGGCGCCCCTGCTGTCAGGAAGGGGAGCCAGTGCAACCTACTTCCCGCCGAGAGCGAAGGAGCCAGACGGAATGTGTCTGAGGCCGGGGCCCAAGGGAGGTGCCATCAATATCTACCTCAAGAAGGACGGCAAGATAGTGCTGAGCGGCACGCCTGCGGCTCAGGAGAGACTCCTCTCCGCCATCGAAGCGTGGACGCTGCAGTGGGGGACGGGGGCCCCGCCCACGGAGGGCCGCCGGACCCTGCCGCCGTATCCCGGGCAGTGAATACAGCAAGGGGGGGGCGCCAGCTGCCGCGAGAGTAGCGCGTGGCGCACGCCCCCGAGAAAGGCCCGGCCAGTAGTAGCAGACGTCCCAAGCTGCTAGCACCCATTGCCACAGCAGGTCAAATGCATGAGAACACGTGGAGTGGATCTGCGGGAGGTCCCACGCAGCTCACAAAAATCCCCTCCCTCTCCGGCCGCCCTGCCCCCCCCTTTGCCGCCCTGTTTCCCCCCCGCCCTGTTCTCCGCCCTCCGTCTCTTCCTCTGCTGTCGTTGCCGCCGCCGCCGCCGTCGCCGGCGCTGCTCCGCCGCCGCTGCCGTCTTCGCCGCCGCCGCCTTCGTCGTTGTCGCCGTCGTCGTTGTCGTCGTCGTCGCCGCCTGTCGCCTCTCTGTCGGGGTGCTGTTTCGTGCGCCGGCTTTTGGCTTCCTGGGGGCTTCCTCGTTGCCAGGGCCGGACGTTGCGCTCTCTCTGTGGGTGGCTCCGTGGGACGCGGATGGGAGGCCGTCTTGAGGGGTTGCCTGCCCATCCTTGGTCGCTGGCCCCGTTGCCGCCGCGGCCGCTGTCGGCGCCGGCGCCGCTGTCGCCGCCTCCTTGTCGTCGCCTTTGTGTCTTCGTCGCCGTCGTCGTCGTCGTCGTCGTCGTCGCCGCCGCCGCCGCCGCCGCCGCCGCCGCTGCCGCCGCCTCCGCCTGCCGCCTTCGCCGTCGTCGTCGTCGTTGTTGCTGCTCTTCTGTCGCTGATCTGATGGGCCTGCCTCACCCGGGATGGAGGGCGCCTGCCCTGCGGACTGCTGGCGGTCCCTCGTGCCACGGCCAGGTTCGCCCCGAATCCTGTCTGCGTGCTGGGAGGCTGAGGGGTTGTGCGAGGCTTGTGGTTCCACGACCGCACTGCTGCTGTGGAGCGCTGCAGGATTCCTCTGTCGCTCCTCTCCTGGTGGGTTGTCCCCCCCGGGAGGCCTCGAGAGGCCTTGGTTGTGCTTGCGCTTTGGGAGTTCGCTTTTGCTGGGCCTCGTGGTTCGGGTGGCCTCTTTCGGCACTCTCCAGGAGGGCGACTGCGACTGCTCCTTGCAGCCTTACTCTCCCCGCGGTGTCCCTGTCCGGTCCCCGAGGCGCCTCCTGCTTGCGGGATGCTCCGGGGCCCATTTCCCCCAGTCGCGTCACCTGTCGCAGCCACTTTGGCCCAACTGCGCTGAGGCGCGCCCCAAATGCAGCCTGCGGGGTTGTCCAATGCGCTCCTTGCTTGCGACGCTCAGATGTGGTCGCCGAGAGGCCCCGCCAGCGACAGCCTCAGGAGACCGGGCAGCTGATGAGCTTTTGCGGTCGGATGCCCAGCACATACACACAGAGGGCAGACGCCTGCGACGCAGCCGGGATGCGGCCACTTTTACCCCGGAGCTGTTTCCTGGTGTGGGCATTCTGGAAGAGGCCCTGGACTGGATGCGCCTTGCTGCGCTTCCCCTAGATCATGCAGGCCTTGCCCCAGACCATGTAACTGCCCTCAGCCCTGGGCACACCCTGCGCATCGCCGTGGGCTCTCCGAGTACACTGGGCTGTGTGGGGATTGATGGCCGCACTGTGCGCTGGTCGGTATTCGACAACCCAGAGACGGGGATTTTTACAGCCATGACCAAGCTAGAGCTCAGCATGGTCTGTCTCCCAGGAGCGCGTCTTAGCGCTACCCAGCAGCTGCCGGGGCGAGCGGGTGCAAAGTATGGTCTTGCAGCGCGGGGAGGACCAGCATATGCCAGTGCGGCAGTTCTTTGGGACAAGGCCCTCCAGCCATTGATACACACGCGCGCAGACATTGGATCGGACAGACGGCTCTGGGTGGACACACAAACAAGCCGGGGCAAACTCCACGTAGCATGTATTTATTTGCCGCCGGTCCCGAAGCATGGGCCCGACGAGGTCTGGCACGAGGAACTGGATGGTCTTGCCCATGATCTAGATACCCTTCGTCAGCAGGCGCGCGAAGCCCAGACCTCGGTTTTGGTACTAGGGGACTTCAACATGCAGCCGGCGTGCCTTGGGGGAGGTCCGGACAGGAGCCGTTCCCGCGAAGCGCACTGGGGGGTCTTCCTCGCCGACAGTGGTCTTGTCCTCCGCAACCCGATGGTCGGGGATGGCCCCCCAAGCCGGGTGCACCTGCCCCTCCGTCGGAAGACCTTGCTGCTGTGCCCAGGGCGCACGCACCATTGTGCAGGCCAGCCCCGTGCGTTAGATTTAATTCTAGGCTCGCCGGGGATTGCAGGACCAGCGACGATCCACAACTCCATTCACTGTAGCTCTGGGTCAGCTTGCCGCTGGCCGGTGTGTCATGAATACACTCGGGGAGACCATTTCCTAGTTGAGATCACCCTCGAGGCACATTCTCTTGGGCAGTGCGAAGCGCTTGGGGCTCTACGGATGCCGCGGTGGTGGCAAGATTCAGATAACTGGAAAATGGGCTTAGCGGCGGCGGAGCCGTGTCTCCGGGAACTCAACAAAGCCCTTCTTCTTTTGGACGACGCAGAGATGATCCTGCGCTTAGACGCCAGAACCAGCCAGTGGCTTGCTGACACAATTGCCTGGGCTCTCGCGCTCATCATCCACCTTGCTATGTCAGGCTGGGTTGTGCCCCCAGAGAGAGGTCGCCGAAGACACGTGCAGCAGGCAGGGCATAGCCGCGCTGGCCCTGAGGATATCACCTGTCGCCTCGGGTTTGGACGCGTGGAGACGCTAGCAGAAGCAGCGGCAAGTTTAGCTCGCCACATGCGCCCGCCCCAGGTCACGCCGTCGCCGTGCCTTCGGGAGGGGCCTGCCCTCCTGTCCCCGGCTGAGAGCCTCCATGCGTGGGGCAGGCAGCTACGGCGGCAGAGCGAGTGGCCGGGGCCGTATGACGAAGCCTTTGGCCAGTACCTCAATCACATCGTGCCGCGTCTTGCGGGCTTTGCCCGGGCCCACAGAGGCGCTACCCCCATGGATGCCCCGGTCACGCAGGCAGAGGTCGCACATGTGATCTCGGAGTGGGGGCACACGGATGCTACGACGCCAGATTTGATCCCCCGCATCATCCTCCAGCTTGGGAGCGGCACCTTGAACGAGGTACTGTGGCGCAGCATCCGCCTCCTAGGGCCCGGGGCCCTGGCTGTTCGGCCGGCGTCCTGGCGAGGCAGCAGCGCAGTGCAGCTCCACAAAGACGGGCCGCCAGATGAGGGCGAGAGTTTCAGGCTGATAATGATAAAAGCTCAGATGGGTCTTCTCCAGGAAGGGGTATTGTGCAACCGTCTGCGCCCCATTGTTAGGGCAGCTATCACCCCGGGCCAGAGCGGGTACATCCGCGACACCGGGGACGCACATCTGCTGCTCCACGAACTCGCGGCAGAAGCGGAGCACCACGGCCGCCCCTTGATTGCACTATTTGGGGACTTACAGAAAGCATTCCCGCGTACGTGGCGTCAAGGTCTGCTGCGCAGTTTACACAGGTTGGCAGGCGTGCGCGATGGATGCTTCTTTCTCCTGCACAGCATGCTGGCCGAAGACCGTATTCACGTATCCTTCAACGGGTGCTCCACCACCCCCATCTTCCAGGGGATCGCAGAGGGGGGCACAATCGGCCCTCTGGCCTTCCCCGTCTACATGGAGGAGCTGGCGAGGACTCTGGCAGAGGCGCGGCTCGGAGTGGGCTTTGGCATCCACATGCCTGCGGCCTGGGCGCGGCACGCGTGGACGGGGGCAGGCGCGCCCAGAGAGGACCTGACGGGGCGGCTTCTGGCCGACATTCAGCAAGGGAGGCTGCTGCCATCTCTTGCAGTTCTGGAGGCCTGGCCTGACCTGGAAGCCTCGGCGCTGGAAGCGCTAGACCAGCTCGCACCGCGGCGGGTGGTGGCCGTTTTTCACGCTGATGACCCCCTGCTTCTTGCATCCTCCTGGGGCAATGCGCAGTCGTCCCTGGACGTGCTTGCGGCCTGGTCTTGGAAGTACAGGGCCTCCCCGCACACGAAACCGGCCAAGCATGCAGCAATGCTTTTCGGGGGGGCCCGGCGGCCTGTGGGTAACACAAAGAGGCCCATGCTCCATCTGCGCTTGGTGGGCCGCCCGCCGGTGCCCATCCACCCAGTCGAGCAGCATCTCTGGCTGGGCCTCCGCTGGCAACACGAACAGAACTTCTTGTCCCTCCTCAACCAGCGGCTTGCGGCAGCAGGAGCACAGTGCGCCAGCCTGGCGGGCTTGGTGGCCAATGGGGGAGTGCCCCTCGCGGTGGCCATGGCCACTTTCGAGATGGTTATAGAAGGCTCCTTTCGCTTTGGTCGGTGGCTGCTGGCTGTGGCCCCTGGCGCCTCCGAAGTCCTGAATGCAGCCTACGAGGGTTGGGCGCGGTCCTTCATTGGTGCCCCGCCGTGGAGGAATGCGATGGTGGCTGCGTCGGAGCTGGGGTGGCCTCTCTCGGGAGCGGGCCGCGCTGCGGTAGATGTTGCTGTGCGCAGGGCCACACTCTGGGCGTTGCCTGAGGACGACCTGTATGGCGCGGTCTTTCGTGGGTCGCAGGCAGCCGGCCACCCCTCCTGGGCCAGGGCATCGCTCTGCCTGCTGCAGGACTGGGGAGTGGAGGACTGGCCAATCTGGAAGGCACGGTGCGCGGGTTCCCTGGCAGCATACAAGGCATACGCAAAGACGGTCATCACAGGACGCTGTCTTGCTGCCCGTGCGCAAGCCCTGGACGGCCACCCCTACGTCCAGTTGCGGCCGTGTGTGAGCCAGGATCTTGCCAAGGGCTACGCCCTTGGGCTCCCTACCTCGTGTCTGCGTGCTCAGCGGTCTGTTTCGCGCCTCCGCGCGGGCCTCCTGACCCTCACGCACCGCAACCGCAGGCGCTCATGGGCTAGGCTGCAGTACTGCATTTTCTGCGAGGCCACCTTGGCTCCAGAAGAGGGCCTCTCCCATGCTCTCAATGTGTGCGGCGCATGGACAAAGGGGCGCGCAGCCTTCGGCCAGGCCCCGGGGGTGGGCGCGGGCGCGGAGCCAGGGGCCTCCCTGGGGGCCGAACCGGGGTCGCCGGGCTACCAGCAGCTGGCAGAGTGGGCAGGTGCTCTGGACTCTAGTGCCACGGAGTTCTGGAGCGGAGCCCCTTGAAAAGTGCGACCCGGCACTCCCCGTTTTTCTCCCCGCCCTCCTTTTCTCCCCTGCCAGGGAGGCTGCGTGAAGATGCACCCCCGGGGCGTCCTATCGCCGCCCTCCTGCGCCTCTGGTTTCCTCCTCTCTCTTTTCCCCCTCGTCCCTGCTCCTGCTTCTCTTGCTCTCTTCCTCCTCGTCCCCGTCTTCGTCTTTGTCCTCCCTCCCCCCTGCGTCGCTATGTTGGTTTCCTGGGGCGGTGACCCCTGGGGGGCGCTCTCGTTGCCGCGACGGGGTGCGGCAGGGAAACTGCGTCTCTGCTCGGCTTGGCTCGGGGTTCTGCCCTCTTCTGTCCGTCCCCCCCCCCCCTTTCGCGCCCTCCCCTGTCGTCCTTGCGCCCCCCCCTCCCTCCGGATTGTCTGGAGGGAGTGCGTTGAGGATCCCCTGATCTTCCTAGCCCCTCCCCATCTCCGGGGGTGCTGGGTTCTCCCACCTGATGGGAGCTGGGAGTGGTGGAATTTCCAGGGCTCCCCGTCCACTCCTCCGTCCAGACTCAGCCGCCTTCGCCCTCGCCCTGCCGTCTCCGGCTGCTCAGTGCGCCCTGGCCTCAAGGGGATCAGGTAGGACTGAGGCCGCGGAGGTGGGTCGAGGGCGGGGGCAGCGGCTTGAGCCACCGCGGCTTGAGCCACCGCGGCTTGAGCCACCGCGGCATCCCAGTGCTTCCCCTCCCCCCCCCTTCCGTCGGAAGAGGCCCGAGAGGAGTAGTGTGAAGGTGACCTCTGGGGCATCCCAGTGCTTCCCCTCCCCCCCCTCCCGTCGGAAGAGGCCCGAGAGGAGCAGTGCGAAGGTGACCTCCGGGGCATCTCAGCGCGCCCCCCTCTCTCCGGATGGTGTCCCCTCGCTTCTCGTCTGCCTCCTGCTCCCTTCTCCCTGCTCCTTCCTTCTGGGGCGAGGCCAGCGAGAGCGAGCCCAGGCCAGTCCGGGCCTGCCCAGGCCTGCCCGGGCCAGCCCAGGCCAACCCAGGCCAGCAGAGGCCATCCGAGGCCAGCTCAGGCCAGCCCCGACCAGCCCAGGCCAGCCTGAGCCAGCCGCGGCCAGTCCGGGCCAGCCGAGGCCAGCCCGGGCCAGCCCAGGCCAGCCCAGGCCAGCCCAGGCCAGCCCAGGCCAGCCATCCTTTTCTCCCTCTTCCCTCCTCCCTCCTCCCTCGTCCCCGTCCTCTCCTCCGTCCAGACTCAGTCGCCTTCGCCCTCGCCCTGCCATCTCCGGTTGCTTAGTGCGTCCTGGCCCCAAGGGGGTCAGGTAGGACTGAGGCCGCGGAGGTGGGTCGGGGGTGGGGGCTGGGAGCGGATCCGGATGGTCTCCACCACCCACGCTGGCAGACTGCGGTATGCCTTGCAAGGACTGGATGGCTGACCCCAGGGCGGATCCCTTTTACAGCTCCCTGTCCGCACTCACGTGCGCTCACTCGGGAAACCCTTGGTGCAAGGTGGGATGCCCTCCATCCCCTGCTTCCCCTGGGATCGCCAGGGAGGTGGGGGGGCCCTCCTTCCACCAGAGCTGTTGTCCCCTGTGCGCGGATGTGGGAGCCGACTGAGGTCAGGCCGCGGCTGGTCCACCTCCCGGCTGCCCTCGGGGTGCTGTCCCTGCAGCCCTCAAAGAATGCCCACAGTGGCCACCAGCCAGCCCTCCTCCTCCTCCGCCTCCTCCTCCTCCTCCTCCTCCTCCTCTTCCTCCACCTCCTTCTCCTCCTCCTCCTGCTGCTCCTACTCCTCCTCCTTCTCCTCCTCCTCCTCACCCTTCTCCTCCTCCGCCTCCTCCTCCTTCTCCTCCTCCTCGTCGTCCTCCTCCTCCTCCTCCCTCCGCCTCCTCGTCCTCCTCCTCCTCCTCCTCCTCTTCCGCCTCCTCGTCCTCCTCGTCCTCCCTCCTCCTCCTCCTCCTCCTCCTCCTCCTCCTCCTCCTCCTCCTCCTCCCCTCCCCCTTCTCCTCTCCTCCTCCTCCTCCTCCCTCCTCCTCCTCCTCCTCCTCCTGCTCCCCCTTCCTTTCCCCCTCCTCCTCACTGCTCACTCTTCACTGCTCAGTGCTCACTGCTGGCTCCTCCTCCTCCTCCTCCTCCTCCACAACCGTTCCCTCCTTGCCTTATCTCCTGCGTGAGGGGAAGGAGTTGGGGAGGGGGGCCGCGGCTCCTCCTGCGTGTACTTGCCCCAGGCGGCGGCCCAGGGGCCTCGGCGACCGACCCCGGGCCCCTCGGGGAGGGAAGAGGCTTCTCGGGCGCCGCGGCCTTCTCGGAGCGTTCCAGAACGCTCTGAGAGCGTTCTGGAACACTCTGTAACGGATTTATCCTAGTCCCAGCCCCGTCCGAGGGAAGCTTCTCAAAGGCTGCCAAGGCCAATTCAGGGGCCACTAGGCTGGATTTGGCCAGAACTAACTCGGGATGAAGGGAGGTGCAGCAAGATTAAGGCGGATTGAACGGGATTATGCTGGACGAGGCCAGCATTCGACCTCGTATACACCCGCGCCGATG